TAAGTGGAACGTGCCTCTTAAAAACTGACTTATTTTCTTAACATTTTTGTTTTGCTTATTGGACGATAAGTGTCCACTTACAAAAAATATTAAAGCCTCTACCAATTTCGGAGGGCCATTTTTTCTCTCCAACGTTTTAAAGTGGTGCGTAAGTGGGCATGCACGTTGCTTATTTTCCAAAAGTGGACGCTTGTACCAAGACAAGCTAAAAAAGATACCTTCTCACTGAATTAGTTTTCATTAAAAATATTAGGCCGTTTCTCGTGTCCAACAAAAATAATTACTTTAAAAAAAATATAAATGGTTTAAATATAAAAACGCAATGACGACAAAGTATTTGCCAAAATGAATTTAAATAATCACTTAGGGGTTTTAAAGTCGCTGAAAACGGATTTGTGATATTCAGTAGTTTACATATGCTTAATTTGCCCACCTTTTATTAAAATATTGGCTAAGTAAGTTCTTTTATAAAATTTATCAATAAAATTATATTAACATTGTATTTTATGATATAAAACAATACAATTTAGACCTTAAAAATGGCTAGCATAGATTTTTAAATTCATTGAGCGAATTCGTTCTCAACGACCTCAAAATCTGGTCAAAATACTTTATCAAGTTATTACGCTTATTTAAAACCATTATTTATTTATTTTACTTCTTTACTTTCGTGGACACTAAAAACGGACAATTATTCTTATTGGACACTAATTCATTGAAAAGCTATCATGTTTATCCTTCTTTGGGATAAACATCCAGTTTAGAAATAAGTCACGCGTACGCTTACTTATGCAGCACATTAAAAAAATAAAACTTTGGAGACCAATAATGGCCCAGCGAAATTAGTGGTGGAGACGAATTTTATAAAACTTGAAAATAAACCAAACAATAGCCATAATAAAATAAGTCACGCGCATGTCCTCTCACGTACTATTTTAACACGTTGGAGAGCAAAAATGGCCCAGCAAAATTGCTGGAGGCTTTAATATGTCTTTAAGGTGAGTACTTATCGTTCAACAAGCATAACGAAAATGTTAAGAAAATTAGTCAGTTATTTAGAGGGCCGTACCTTATGTAATGCGTATAACTAAGCGCCCCGGTCTGAACCTCGCGCTTTAGTGAAATCGTTGGACACATATCTTACTACACTTTAATAATAAATTCAGCTATAAGAAAACGGTTCACGCGTACTCCCACTCACGCACCACTTCAAAATGTTGGAGGGAAAAAATGACTCGGCGGAAATGGTGGAGGAAGTAAATTTTGTGAAAAAAATAACAAAAACTTGAAAATAAACCAAAAACTAGCCATAAGAAAATAGGTCACGTGTATGCCTTCCCAAGCACTACTTTAAAACGTTGCGTTATCACTAGGAATTAATTCAGGGTCCTTTCGATATTTTTATCGTGCAGATATCGCCTTTAACTTGTGTTTTTTCCTGTTTTTACAGGCTTCACATTCCTAATTGTTGACGCCATTTTCAACATTGTAATGCGTGGTGTATTTCCCACAACGGAAAATTTAAATAAGGAAAGCATGATATATTTTCACATAGGACAAGAATTTTAGGATTATATCGGGTTTATTTGTACATAAATAAAAAACACAGCGCGGTTTCCACCATTACCAATATCAAAAAAAATGTAAATTTTGCAGTTAGAACAACTACTCTTGGAACGACAGTATACTATCCAGCTAGTCTATAAACTATCCAAGTAAAAAATTTAACCGTACTCCATAGTATTTTATTTTAAAGGTGCGTTTAGTCAGCCTGATTTTGTTTTAAGCACTAACATAGACATTAACATAAACATTAATTTAAGGATTTTAAAACAAAACCGTTTATACAGAAAATTTAAGCATTAACATAAGATTTAACAAATTATACAAAATGGAAAAAAGGCGTATGGGAGCTGATTCTGAAATTGCTCTGTTAACTATCTTACAATTACTATTAATAAAAGTGCAGAAAAAGAGTTTAGAAGTTCAAAAGTTAAAAGTTAGAAAAATAGCTTAACCTCACTTTTTAAACGCATATGCGCAATTGTATTTTCGACATAAATTTAAGCATTAAGATGGATTTATTCTTATGTTATTCTGTATAAACAGGTACACTGAAATGTATTGAAATTAACTTTTATGTTAATGTCTATGTTAATGCTTAAAACTAAATCAGGCTGACTAAACGCACCTTTAATCCATAAAGTCTAAAAGTTATAGAGAAAAAAAAATTGTTCTTACCAATTTTAATGGACCATAAGTCGTACAAAGTTTTATCTTTTAAAATTGCAAATTAAAAAAAGACATGTTTTATTTAACTTTGTAGATCTCTGGCGACCAAACGAAGCAAGTTGGTATATAGGTACGTTTGGTTAAATTAACTTATTTTGAGTCCATAAATCTGTGGTGTAATAGCCCTATGTACACGAATTCTCCGGACACCCCGAATACGGAGTTTATCAAGATATATTACTTAATGAAAAAATTCTCATTTAGGAAACTACGATTTGTTTACTTTTAAATCCTTTATATATTAATATATTAATGATTAATAAAATCACAGAATACTAACTAATAAAAATGGTTTATTTTAATTAATGAACGCTTGGAAAAATATCACGTCGAATCACTGATGCAGTTGTTACTGAGCGGCGTTTCCATTATGTTTATTTTTTAACTCTTAACTTGACAATATTGGATTATTTCAGAAAACAAAATGAATAAAATAATTATGCACGGAAACCTAAAAATCTGCAATTTTCTGCATGTCAACATTTTTATTTTACTGTTTTAGTGTAAAACTGTATACTTTTACAATACCTTCAAATATTTTAACATTCATCATTTTTCAAATTTTGAAAATCTCAAAAAAAATACTGATTGACGTCGCCCACAATTAATTTCATTGAACACACGCCAAAAGTATACAGCAATAACAATGCAAGTTTCCCAATTATTGCGGAACAAGTTTTGAATAGAACTTTACAAATTTGCTTTCCGTATTAGTTTTAGCTCAGCTGGAATGTTTGTACACTTTCCCGCTGAAAATTATCCCGTGTTATTAGAATTGAAATAATACATAATAAACCTTAGCTTGTACATAAACCTTAGATGAAAATAGTTTTATGTCACGTTTTGTTTTGTTCATTTGGTTTTGTTGCAATATGCGACTCTGTAGATATGAACTCAATTATGCAAAATAAAAAGTACAAAAATATTTTGACGGATTTATAAGTTTTGTCACATGCCTTAGAAATATTTGGAATTTCAGCCCTGTTTTCTTCTATCTAATTTATTATTCTTTAAAGTGTATCGGAGCGTCATAATATCGAAATCAAAGCGACAGCGATAGTGTAAAACACTTATTTGTTTTTTCTGTAAGAATATGTTTTCGAATCGAGACAGAAAAAAAATTCTTTTGATATTTCTTTTCTTATTGAAGCTTTGTGGGGATGCGGAACATTAGTTAAAGCGGTTGCAAGTGTGTGGATCCAATTCTTTCAGTACAAATTTCGTATTTTAAAATGATATAAGGTTGAATGTATTTTTTTTTTCAAAATTTTCTATTCCGTTTTAGCAACATAGAGAATTGCCATACACTTTTGTCGTTGCTTACTCTGTGGCACATGCTATTGTAGTAAATAAACAATATATTTTTTGAAAATCATATTAGTATAGCTGAAATTTTACTAGCATAACCTATATCATATTAAATGTCAGCTATATTTACTAAAATGGTTTGAAAATATTTATTTAATTACTAAAATAGCATATGGTACCAAGTCAGCAAAGTCAAAACTGTATAACAATTTACATTTATAATATATTGCTAAAGAAAAAAAAAATAATCTTAAATGATTTTGAAATACGAAATGTTTACCCGTACAAAGAGGATGTGCACAGATAAACGCTCCCGCTGCCAGTAATCAGTTGTGTTGTATCCTATCAAGCTTCTCTCGTACTGTAAAAATGTCAAGCCTAATCTAATACAACTTTTTATAACTACGTCAAGACAAGGATTTTTTTGTACCTTTATGTATCTACACTGTCGCATTATTTGTAGCCATTTATTTTCTTTTTCATTTTCTTTTATTTTATGTTTTAACCAGGGTTTTAGACAAGTAGAAGCCGAAGATATTGGTAATGATATAGTAAGTACCAGAGAAAGTACTATAATTATTTACAGGGCCGCCGAGAGCCAGGTAGGGCCCCGGGACAATTTTTCAGGTAGGGCCCCGCGACAATTTTATAAAAAATCAAGCGCTTTCAATATCACATTTCTAAAAAGAAAGAAAAAAGGTACTTAAGCAGAAACATAGATACTTATTAGTGAAATCTCTAAAAAAAGGTCCTTATCTTCGATTTTACATAAGCCAGCGCTACTCCCTTTTGTGACGAACTTCTAAAAAAATAAAACATCGTCACCTTAAGCTGCCGGCTACCCCCCACACGCCCCTCTCGTCGGCCCTGATTATTTACTAACTTATTAATTAAGTTTATGATTACTAACAACTAACAAAATAATCAATAATATTGTTTGAAGTAGACAATGTACCTGTGAAGAAATTTAGAATAGGCTGGGTAATTCGTAATTCAAAATGTATTTTAAGAGGAGCTTCATTGCCCTATTTTAGTTTTTAAATATTTAGTGCTATCATTTCAAAATTTTAAAAAAAATTGAACTATTGTTATACTTACTTTAATTACAAACCAAATATTACACTAATTACTTTTTGGGGACAATAAAAGAGCACATTTAACTCTTTTACACGATTATGCTAGATAGAAATATTTGTATGGTTTTTACCATAAAATTACGGTAATCTATTTTTTTGAGCAAGTTGGTTTTGCGAATTTGACAGCAAATAACGAAAAACATATCAGTTTCTGTTTAATGTTATTGAAGAAGATTATAAACATATAACCCTCCATCCTAAATTTTGTCCAGAAGACAAAATATTCTATAACAATACAATATACTAACGAAATTCGTATTGCAGGTAGAACGAATGGATTACGATGGAAATTACAGGGAAGGAAGCGGAGCTGAAGAAATAGGCGTATTTCCCCCACCTCCACCACCACCTGATGGTAAGACTTGTTTTTGTGATAGTGATAAAGAATATTGTTGTAATACTCTCTCTGATGGTGATACAGCTGCAGGAGGATATTATCGAGGCGAGAAGGGAGATAGAGGACCAAGGGTAAGTCAAAGTTAATTACTAATAAGTATACAGAATGTTATGCAGATGACTTGACATTAAATCCAGGAGGTTTATACAGTGTGTCTAATTAGGTCGACAACATATGGAAACTTTTAAATTTTTGGCTTTTTATAAAAAGTGAATAATGTACAACCTAAAATTCAACCATCAGATGCAACCATCAATTTTATACGAGGTGTGTCGAAAAATATGAGTAAATTACCTAACTTTAGTTTTAACAAAATCTAAATTTGTGGTTAGAAATGGTTGATCATAATTTTTAAAAACTACGGTTAAATATTTATATCTTGTATTTAATAAATTCTAACTTGTGTTTGGACGTTTACTGTAAAAAATTTGCATCCTTGACTAAATAATAATTTAATTTATTTGATGAATTACTTACAACTAATATTTTGACGCTTACTGGTTTTAATTTGTTTTCGATGTGTTTTAGATTAAACAGCAATATGTAGACATAATTTAAATAATAATGCTACTAGAGAAAAGGGTTTGAAAAAATAGCAAAATTTATTTTCCGTAATAGATAGTTAATATTGAATACCTAACAGTAGTTTTTAATCCTTAAAACCTTTTTCTTAATAACAATTTTTGATATTTTTAAAAAAAATAAAGGTACTTTACTTTTGCATTTAATTCATATTTTTTGACAAACCTGTTACGGTTCAAGATCCATATGAATGTACTTGGATGCTTTTGCCACAAAAATAATATATATATAGTATTGACATTTAACTTTTAATTTACTTTAATTTATTATTTAAGTATAATAGGAATAAAATCTATTAAAAGATCACTCCGTATATTCCGTTTTGGGTAGAAGTTTAATAGGAGATCCATTTCTCATGTTCTGTGAGTTAACTAGAATGAAAAGATACCTTTTACAAGTCCATTGTCAAATTGGAAATTGTAGAAGTTTACCATTTTATCAAGTATTTCTTTCTTGTTTTGACGATTCGTTCTGGTCTTCTGTAGATATATGTTCCATTGTTTTTCTTAATTAGTTTGTAGTTGAGTTCTAGGAGCCTAAAAAGGACAAAGAAACGTTTTGAATTCTATAAATGGTTTCAGGGTTCATTTTCTTTGCTTATTTACATTAATTATGACATTATGTCATTCAAATGTATTCAGGTAATTGTCTAATTCATTACAAATAATTAAAACCCCAAATAATCTGGTTAATTTTGGAATTAAGTAGGTGATTGTGAGAAATTGTCTAATAATATTTTAAATTACCTGTCATATTTTATTTTCATTTCCTGTAGAAGTCATTAATTTTGTCGGTGCATATCCTGTCACCATTTTTCATTTTTCTCGTATCATCCCTTCATGGAACATGTGTTTTTGAAGATCGTTTTATGAGGATATAAGATACTAGAAACGAAAAGACTGATTGAAAAATTATTTAGTATTACTATTTATTAGTATACTTAAACTCACAAGAGGATTTTATTTTCAATTAAGCAAAACTTACTTCTAAAAAGGCCACATTTCAACTCACAGGTAAAGAAATTTCTCAATTATCACTTATTTGTCCTTCCTTAATATAAGAGTATATTTAAAATAGTATTTTGTATTTTGGGTCTTTTCTTTTTCCTTTTCTGGCTGTCGTAGTCATAGATAGTTGCATTTCATTTTTATTGTTCGATTCATTTACATTGGAACAGTTACGTGTAATTCCGGACATCACATTAATTTGAGGTAGTCTCAAGGGCAGCTGTATTTGAGAACCTTGCTGTTGGATAGTAGTAAACTATTGGGACACCATTTTCATCCCTTACTCACTGGAGTTACCTACAAACGAAGAACAGGACGATATTTTAATTGGAGAATAAATAAGTGGACCTATATATATACCTTCGAATCCAATAGGCTATTTTGTCAAGTAACCCTTCCAAAGAGGTCTTCGAATTCAACCCTCGCCTATGTAAGATATTGTCAATCTCCAAGGTAGGAATTTTCTGATTATACCAACTCAAGTCTATCAGTTAGAAGGTGTTATCACACAAAATATCTCCACCCTCAGTGTTTGGGAATATTCCGAAAATTGTATATATAAAATAACCAGATTAACCTTTTAGTTTGTACATAATAAAATCATTTATTTTGTAAGCCACCCCAGATATATATATATATATATATATATATATATATATATATATATATATATATATATATATATATATATATATATATATATGGTTAGAATAAAAGTTTAAAAATCTATCAGATGCTGTTGGTTTTTGGTACCAATTTTTGTGTTTCGGTACGTATTACTTTGGTATCTAAGAAGGGCACAGAACATTCATTCTCAATTTCTATTGTGAACTGTAATCTATCATTGAAGGAATTAAATATATTCAATGTTGTTTGTATTTTGTTGGCTGGAACAGCGCTGAAACATCTAACCATCCAAAAAATCAAAAATTCAATACTGTAATTGCTATGAAAAATAGAATCTCACACATCAGCGATGATAACTTTATTCAAGACAATTTCAAGAAGCTTTTTGACAGTTTTGTAAACAACGGGTATCCAAAGAACATCTTAAAGAAGTTGATATACAACACTAACTTGTACGATGGTCCCACAGATGAAGATAAACCAACCACCTTCATTTATAAAAGAATTCCTCTAATACACTCGTTAACTCATCGTATTACATCCCTGTTCAAAAATAATGCTCCTAATTTAAAAATTTCTCCTTACGATCCGCTAACGATCAAAAACTTATTCTCAAAAGTAAAGGACAAAACACCAACGTTATTCAACAGCAATGTTGTTTACAGTTTGCCTTGTTCAGGGTGCAATGGATGTTATATAGGACAAACGGGACAATGGTTGAGACAAAGAGTGACTCAACACAAAAGCGATTGCCGTACCAAAAAAAATACATGTGCGGCGGTGGAACACTATATAAATACGGGACATGAGTTTGACTACACGGAGAATAAAATTTTAGGAAAAGAAAACAAATACAAGAATAGGTTATTTCTGGAAATGTACTACATCAATAAAACTAAAAACACTATTAATTATAAATCTGACATAAACCAACTAAGCAACTTTTATTGTAATATTCTAAATAAAATTTAAGTATCACTCTGTACAATATTAAAAATCATTTAGTTTTATCTCACTATAATTATTTCTAGTCTACACTTTTTATTTTTAATTTTATCAACCTGTTAAATTTTTAAAGTGTCCACTGTCCGAAAGTTTAAGTGTAATGTTGTTTTTATTCAAAATTTTATTCGATTGACTCAAATGATTGTGTAAAAGGTCACCAAATTAAAATTATTACCTTTTACACACCATCCTCAATGAGTTGTAAGTTTAACTTTCTTAATCAATTAACTTGTCTTTTTAACAACTTTTATTAACTTTTGTAGCTCCTTGATAATGAGTATAACCATACTCGAAAGCTCGGAATAAATTTAAAAGAGTACACTAGTGAAGTAATTTGCCAAATTTCCCAAAAATTTCCTAACTAGTCGGCAAAGACTAAGCCTTAATTGGCTTTTATAGATTATATATATATATATATATATATATATATATATATATATATATATTAAATTCAAAGGACTTACCTATACAACCGAAATTATAGCTAGATATTGAATAAAACATCAAGATTCTCCTTTCATAGCTAATAAACACGTTTTATTAATATATCATAACCTTTAAAAATTATTCAATATTCTTCTTTTCCATTTGCGGTATCCATCACATAAATTTACTCAGGTAAATAATCAATTGTATCTCGGTACAATCGGTCATTCAGCCAAATTCGAGGACAAAAAGGAAAGATCACCCGCGACCCTCTCTCTGACTGGGCAGTGAGCATTAATTACCCCATTATATTTTGTTTTGCTCTGAGGGTCATAGCTAATTTGGCGCCCAACGTGGGGCGTCTGCGACTACGTAATCCTTCCCTTTGCGATGGATGACTTCCAAGTTTACTGTTGTAACGGACCATTATAGCTTAAAATGGTTATTTAACATCAAAGACCCTGTAGGTCGTATAGCTCGATGGGCTCTCCATTTACAACAGTATGACTTTGAAGTCATCCGTCGCAAAGGGAAGGATCACGTAGTCGCAGACGCTGTTTCACGTGCCGTACCTCCCATAGATTGTGTCGCTGCTCCTGATCCACCTAACGGACAGCAAGATAAGTGGCTACAGACCATGTTGACAAGGGTACAACAAGATCCTGACAAATTTCCTTTATGGAGAGTGGAGGGTACAGATCTTTACAAGAGAGTCAATTTGAGGTTTCCAGATCTCACCCAATGTCAACAAGAGTGGTTGAAAGTAGTTCCAAAAGGACAGCGCAACGTGGTGATCAAAAGTCACCATGATCCACCCTTAAGTGGCCACCTGGGAATTTTCAAAACCCTAAATAGGATATCCTCATCTTTTTACTGGCCTAAGATGAAGTACGATGTAGCTCGTTACGTAAATCGCTGCAAAGTTTGTCTTCAGAACAAACCTGAACAACGTAAAACTGCAGGCCAACTGTTGACTAAGACCACCACTGTTACGCGCCCCTTTCAACTCCTCAGTGTCGATATTATGGGTCCCTTGCCAAGATCTTCCTCGGGAAATTGTTATATTTTAGCTGTCTGTAATTATTTTAGCAAATTTTGCCTCTTGTTCCCTATGAGATCTGCTACCACTCCTCCAATTATCAAGCTTCTGGAAGAAAGGGTGATATTAGTATAAAACCGGTATTTACAGCCAATTACCATCCCCAAAGCAATCCTGTTGAGAGAGTGAATCGTGTGGTAAAAACCATGTTACGTAGGTGGGAATCACCGAACATAAGACAAAAATCTTTCGAAGATAGGTTGGGCCATTCGATCTGCACGTCATGAAGTTACGGGTTTAACTCCCAATTTCATTGTATACGGTCGCGAAATACCAATTAGTGGAAATGATGTACTCGACTTCGACAGAAGTAAAGAACTTATTTCTCGGAGTTAAGCTCTAGAAGAGGTTTACAAGGATGTTAGTTGTAAATTAAAGAAGGCTTATGAGCGTAGCAGTAAGACATATAACTTAAGACATGGACCTGATACGTTCACACTCAACCAAGATGTGTGGAAACGACATTTTTCCCTATCTGATGCCTCGAAACATTTTACTTCGAAGTTAGCACCTAAATATGTTGGACCTTACAAAATATGTCGGATACTATCTCCCTGGTCATATGAACTGCGAGATACAGATGGTAGGTCAATAGGTATTTGGCATGCCAAAGATCTAAAAGCCCATCCCCCAGATCTAGAGGATATAGATCCTGATAGGGATGAGCCTGAAGATCAGAACGAAGATTAGATATTGTATATATAGTTGTAGATACAAAGTGTAAATAAAAACTATCCTAACCTTAACCTATCTTAAATCAAAAACTATCCTAACCTAAACATATCCTAAACCAAAACTTATCCTAACCTAAACCTTACCTTATCATAACCTAAATCTTAACTTATCCGTTACTCCAGCATGACTAAGCGCAATTAGTCTATTTAATACGAATCTCTATGACTTAATTTTCGAAACATTGGACTCACATGATACCTTGGTTGTTTTGTACCTGTCCTGTGTTGAACGAAAGATTTCATTTACTTAAAAGTGTTTTCATCTTTAGATGAGAAAACCATTTTCCTAGTGTGTAAATAATAATTTTTTTTTATTGTATATATTTTTGACTATAACTTTTATTATTTAAGTATAAGTTGGTTTATGAATTACTTTTTTCTTTAAAGTGTTTTCACCTTTAGAAGGGAAAACACTTCTCTTAGGTAAGAAACCTCGTACATAACTAAAAAGATTTGATACCTTAACGTTATAATTTGAATTTTAGACCATACAGAACTTTTTATGCAGAACAACTTTTTTTCATAAAACCAATAATAAAAAAGTTTCCCATTTGGTTTCGACTTAATTATACGTTATAAATAATCGAACTTTATAATTGAAATAACACGGGAAATCTAACAGCCGTATGCATAGTCGATCGATAGCGACTCGCCAAAGAATCATTTCGGCGTATCGCCAGCGATTCGCTGGCGATCCGCCGGCGAAAGCCCAAAAAGCTAGCGACTCGCCGGAGATTGTCACCGGAATGTCATTTCACGCAAGTTTTTATTTTCTTTTATAGGGATTATCACCGGCATCTCTCGCATTTTATTCATGATTCATTTGTTAAAACTCAAAAAATAATGAACGAATATCAAATTTTTCCCTATAAAAGAACATGAAAACTTGCGTGAAATGACATTCCGGTGACAATCTCCGGCGAGTCGCCAGCATTTTGGGCTTTCGCCGGCGGATCGCCAGCGAATCGCTGGCGATACGCCGAAATGAATCTCTGGCGATCGACTATGCATACGGCTGTAAATATTTATTGTCAAATTTATAAATGTATATGTTTTTATTCAAGGGGCCGCCCGGTGAGTCAATTAGAGGACCTCCAGGACCTCCTGGACCTTCTGGTCTACCTGGTTCTCCAGCACCTGAGGTAAGATTACAATTATTTTTGTTAATATTATTTTTAAATCAAATTACCTACAGTTTAGTTAACAATTTAATTAATAATTGTGAATTTACGTTAACCATGGATAATGGTCACCGGAGGTGATACTATAGAAATATAACGTCTTTTTAATGGGTCATTGACAATTTAGAACTGAGGCACAGAGTATATTTGTCTATTTTTGCTCTTCTTTATAACTTGGGAATAAACGGGTACAATTTTCTAAAGTTTTGTAAACTTATTATCCATGTCTTGCAGAGTTGGGTAGTATCCGGATACTTCTGTATCCGGATACAGTATCCCGATACTTTATGTGTATCCGAAAGCTGTATCCGGATACTTTTCAAATTTTGTATCCGGTATGCATATCCCTGATCAAATTTGTAAGTATCCGGATACCGGATACTTTTTTCGGCATTCGGATACTTTTAAATTATTTACCACAATCGTAACTGATCCAATCCATATTATCTCTATTAGCTATAAATATCGCACATCCGGTGCAACAATGTCGTAAGAGCTAAAATCATTTTTTTTTGTAGGAGAGCTATTCGAAAGTTTTGCTTTTAAGAAATATGTGCCCTGCCCCCTGCCGTAATATTTTATTTATATTTCTCAAGCAATTTAAATAAAAATTTGGAAGAACATTTTATAAAAATTTTCTATTTATTTTTATTTATAAAACTTACAATTTTTTTATAGTTGATTTGAATAGGCAATTTTTTTTATTTATACCCTTATTTTAAACGTTAAGAGGAAGTAATACCCTTAAAAAAATACTTAATTTATATTTCTCAAGCGATTTAAATGAATTTTTTTTTACATTTTAGACAAAACTATATTAATTTTTTTTTAAATTTTTTTAAAATTTTTTTTTTTACTTTGTGTGGCCAAGATAAATATATATATTTTTTAATTACGCTCTATTTAAAAAACTGTCTCCCCATTAATCTAAATAATGACATTATCTAACCATTCCTAAAATTTAAAATTTCTACTTTTTTCTATTAACGGGTAAAATTATTTTAAAAATTCATTTTTAAAGTAATTTTAAAAAAGTAAAAATTTTAAATTTTAGGTACGGTTACATAATGACATTATCTAGATTTATTGGGAGCCAGTTTTTAAAAAATGGGCATAATTAAAAAATATATTTTTATCTTGGCAGATCAGCCTAAATTAAAAAAAAAAGTTAAGAATAAAAATTAATATAGAATTTCGCATAAAATGTGTAAACAAATACATTTATATCACTTGAGAAATAAAAATCAAGTAAAGAATAGGATCTTAATAGAAAAAGAGTGAACATTTAGAATTTAAAGATAGTTAAGGTAATTTCAGTATCTGTTTTGTTTAAAATCCAGTTTTAAAAAAAATGGTATAATTAAAAAAATATCTCGGAAAATCAGCTTGGATAAAAAAAAATGTAAAAATAAAAGAGAATATAGAATTTCATGTAAAATGTCTCTCCAAAATTTCATTTAAATCGCTTGACAAATAAATATAAATAAAATCAGCGGGGTATTACTTCCATTTAATAAAAATATTAAAAGTAAAATGATACCTCCAACTTTGAGAATAGCATTAGGAATGGTAAGCCATTTTTTTATGCTGACGATACTCAAGTTAAATTTTCTTTTAATCGTAATGATTCCTTAGAAGCTAATAATCATATTAATGAAGATCTTGACAGACTAGTTAAACTTTCAAATATTCATCAACTTAATATTAATCCAGCTAAGAGTGTAGTAATGTTATTTGGTAAATACCGACATCAACTACAAAATGAAATGCAGATTCTAGTTGATGGGAATATTTTATCATTTTCCACATCTGCTCGCAATTTAGGTTTAGTAATTGATAATGACTTGAGGTTTAAACTTCACGCTAACAAGTGCATCCAAACAGCATACATGAATTTAAAAATGCTTTACCCACATCGACATGTTCTTCCAACTACAACAAAATTGTTATTAACAGATTCCCTGGTTCTGAGTAATTTTAACTTTTGTGATTCAGTTTATGGGCCCTGTTTAGATAACGCAGACATAATTAGAATTCAGAGAGTACAGAAATCTTGTTTAAGATTTTCTTATGGAATACGGAAATTTGATAGAGTCTCTCATAAACTCAAGGATTCAAACTGGCTAGATATGCAATCCAGACGAAACTTACACTCGGCTAATTTGTTTCATTCTGTTATTTTACATAAATCCCCTCCATATCTTTTTAATAAAATAATGTATCGTTCTGATGTTCATAACCTCAATCTACGTTTTTGTGGTCGTATCTCACCTCCAATACATAATACTGCTATTTTCAGACGGTCTTTCACTTATAATATTTATGCAATGTACAAGGTTATCCCACAACATTTTAAAGAAATGTCTGTAAGTAAATTTAAAAAATTTTACAAAAAGTTTCTTCTTGACACAGCAGAGTGATAGCTACTTTTTAGAATGTTTATACTTTTTTTTCTCACTATCATTTGTGTTTATATTTATATTGTTTTTTGTACGATGTCCTGTGGCGTTGGTAATACTCAGGGCTGGTGCTTTGATCAGTATCCACTGTTCACCAGTCCTTTTTGCAGCCTTCTTTGGCACTTTTTTTTTTCTGAATATTTTTATATGTATAAAAAACTGGAAGTTGCAAATAAAGTTTATTATTATTATTATTATTATTATTATTATTATTATTATTATTATTATTATTATTATTATTATTATTTTTATTATTATTATTAAATAATAATAGCTGAATATTTGTATGCGTTATAATGTACTCATACATGTATGACGTTGTTGCTCATAATGTTACTGATCACGTGTTATTTATGTCGTCATCAACATCAATAAAGTAAACAGATCTGACAAGATCAAATATACGAGCCTGCTTTGCCTATGCCACAACAAAACATTCAGCAATCTCTTACTCCTTTCGACGCGCTCGACTCTACCAAGTACCTACCGCTCGTCGGAGGATCCACAAAAATGGATTGTCGAATACATCTGACACGGACGAGAATATCGAAAGATTGTATAAACATGACAAGTCGCGCCAACAACGAGCTTTTTTCTTTGGATTTATATGGACACGACACTGGCTGTTTTTGGCGCGGTTCAGGCGCGACTCGTTTAATATACACGCACCTTTACGTTTTATATATATATATATATATATATATACATCTTTATATCCTTTCTGAGCCAATTGTAGTTTCATACAAAACTGCTCCACTAGGAAAACAATGAGTTTTCGTCTATTTGTCCGCATATATATGTTAGTTCTTATAAAACTTTCCTAATTTTGCAAAATATACAACAAAAAAACAATTTTTAGCAAAAAAGTTTATACAAAATAAATAACACAATCTTGAACCAAACGTCTTGTACCATCTTGAGCCATTTATATAATTTAGACAAAATAAATAACACATTCCTGAACCAAACGTCTTTTGCTATCTTGAACCATTTATATAATTAAGACAAAATAAAAAACACTTTTCTGAACCAAACGTCTTGTACTATCTTGAACCATTTATGTTTACAACTAAAAAGCAATTATGGTCCACAGGATATTTTAACACGTTGACTGCCAACATTTCATATTCAGATAATACTTCTTCATGTAAAACTCATTTTAACGTATTTTATATTTCTAATTTCAATTTATAGTTCACTGTAAGAAGTATTTTAATTTATTTTCGTAAAGATTTCAGGGGCATTTAAAATTATTTTATAATTTTCAAAATTGAACAATCCAATCTTGAACATTTTTCTGTTTCTGGTTTTTCTAGATTAGCTTTTGAGGTGATGTTTATTAAAAAACGAATATATAATTTAAGGGTCTGTGTTGACATGAATAGAAAAAAGTAGGGTGAAAGGGGTAAATGTAATCTAATTTATAATAAGTTAATTTATCATAAGTTAAATTTTTATTCAAAATAAGTTACGAAGAACATATTTTGTATTCAATTTAAATTTATTTTAAATTATTTTAATTTATTTTTTTAATTAAAATTTATATGAATTTATTCCAATGTATTTGAATTTATTTAAATTTATTTAAATTTATTTAAATTTATTTAAATTTATTTAAATTTATTTAAATTTATTTAAATTTATTTAAATTTATTTAAATTTATTTAAATTTATTTAAATTTATTTAAATTTATTTAAATTTATTTAAATTTATTTAAATTTATTTAAATTTATTTAAATTTATTTAAATTTATTTAAATTTATTTAAATTTATTTAAATTTATTTAAATTTATTTAAATTTATTTAAATTTATTTAAATTTATTTAAATTTATTTAAATTTATTTAAATTTATTTAAATTTATTTAAATTTATTTAAATTTATTTAAATTTATTTAAATTTATTTAAATTTATTTAAATTTATTTAAATTTATTTAAATTTATTTAAATTTATTTAAATTTATTTAAATTTATTTAAATTTATTTAAATTTATTTAAATTTATTTAAATTTATTTAAATTTATTTAAATTTATTTAAATTTATTTAAATTTATTTAAATTTATTTAAATTTATTTAAATTTATTTAAATTTATTTAAATTTATTTAAATTTATTTAAATTTATTTAAATTTATTTAAATTTATTTAAATTTATTTAAATTTATTTAAATTTATTTAAATTTATTTAAATTTATTTAAATTTATTTAAATTTATTTAAATTTATTTAAATTTATTTAAATTTATTTAAATTTATTTAAATTTATTTATTGTTGTATTTTTATTTATTTTTATTAATTTTTATTTATTTTTATTTATTTATATTTATTTATTTTTATTTATTTTTATTTATTTTTATTTATTTTTATTTATTTTTATTTATTTTTATTTATTTTTATTTATTTTTATTTATTTTTATTTATTTTTATTTATTTTTATTTATTTTTATTTATTTTTATTTATTTTTATTTATTTTTATTTATTTTTATTTATTTTTATTTATTT